TAAAATGTTGTTAAATGTTTACAAATAAATTAATAAATTAATAATATATACACTGTTAAATCTATAGTGTCAACCTAAATCTATAGTGTTTAGCCTTATTAACTCGCCACTGCTCCTACTTAATAAATAGTTATTTTTAACTAAAATTTGAGTTCAATTTGAACTGTTTTAAATTATTTAACACCTTTGTTTTATTGTTAGTTAAAAATAATTATTTATTAAGTAGGAGCAGTGGCGAATTAATAAGGTTAAATTAAGGTTAAGTTATTTTTAATTAATAAAACAATGGAGGTAAATAATTTAAAACATTTCAAATTTAACCCAAAGGGTTAAAAATAACTATTTATTAAGTAAGAGCAGTGGCGAGTTAATAAGGTGAAACACTATAGATTTAAATTGACACTATAGATTTAAAAGTGTATATATTATTAATTTATTAATTTATTTGTAAACATTTAGCAACATTTAACATTTTTTAACAACATTTTAACATTTTAAAATAAATAACATAGAACATAGTAAAACTATTTTTTTTAAGAAATAAAAATAAATAAAGTATTAATTTCTTCTCCTTCTTCTTCCTCTTCCTCTTTCTCTTTCTCCGAAATAGTGTTTGGTGTAATTGTCGCACATGTTGAATAAAAAATTAAAAAATTTTCTTACCCTTTGGCGTTGTCCGCTTCTCCTGCCTCTCGGTCTCCATCCTATGAAACAAATATTATATTATAATATTAAGTACTTAAAAGTATATGCAATAAGAATTTAAAAAAACCTACAAAAACTTTATACATAAAAGTATTATATATTATGTAACTTACGTTGAGAAGCATCGATGGCGGCGGCATGCGGAGCAGCAGCGGCGGCGCGGCGGTGCGCGCGGCGGCGGCAATAGCGACATGCGATGGAATAGCGGCGGCGGCGGCAGCATGCGGAGGAACAGTCGCGGCGACGATACGCGAAAGAGCGGCGGCAGCGGTATGCGGAGGAGTAGCGGCGGTAGCTGTACGCGAAGGAGCGGCGGCGGCGGTAGCGGTAAAATAATAATGAATAATGTACAAAAATTATGCAAAAATTGTAATAACATTGCTTTGCTTGAAAAGACTGATGTAACAATGACCAAACGTATACTTATTTTTCAATTATTATTATTTAAAACTAATAATAAAAAAGTTACAAAGATTACGAATCTTAATATTAAATCCATACCTGTATCAAAAATACATATTGCTAAAAATATTTATAAAGTTAACAGTGCAATTTTTCATCATAGAAACATAAACGATGGACATTACATAAATATATTATGAACTAAAGGTATAAAATGGATATCTGTAAATGATTTAAAAGTTGAGACATGTCAATGGCCTCGAGATGCTAAGAGTGCATACACATTTTTCTTAGAACAAATAAATGAATAAAAAAATTAAATCAATAAACTATTGAAATTGAAAGGAGGATACATTAAATTAAAGTAATAATTGTATAATTAATGTGTTTATTTTTAGAAGAAGTTAAATTCTATTATAATTTAAAACAAAAAGCAATGAGATCCTATAAAAAATCTTTTTAAAAAATGAAAAAATATATGCCAAGTACATAAACAATGTCGCATATTACATTCTTTTTAAAACTGAGAACAATTTTTTATAAAATGATTTAAATATACAATAGATCGG